TTTTACTGTAGTCCAACACAGTGCAGTGTACAGTCTACGCTGCATTTTTCCATCCAAGCTCACAGTATCTCACCATCGTGCTAGCTGCAGTGTAATAGTAGCATCCCATCAATTCAGGTCTTTACCAATTTCAGGGTTTTTGACAATTCTGAATACTGGAACTGACATTTCCCAGTAGAAATGCTATTACAATGCAGCAACGCTTTCCCACTGGAATATATCCCAAGATAGTAATCTGATTCCATAAAAATAATTTGATCTTCATTCACAGCAGAGCCCAACCCATGTCCTTACATGCGTATGACACTTCCGTTTTATAACCCAGTGACCTGACACACATAGATCTTACAGCTGATGGTGTCGCTTTGCTGGACGGCTTTAGAAGAGCACTGCTGGCAGGCTGCCAAAGCATATGCTGTCCATAAAAGGGCTCCTTTGGATTATAGCTGAGCTAATTGTCATCTAAGACCAAGCGTGGACATAGAAACCATGAGTTTTCCAGTGCAGATGTTTCTCCAGTGCAGGCGTTTCTCCAGTGCAGGCTGGAGATCATGTCACAGCAGCTTTGTGGGACCAGGCTGAACTGGTTTGATGTTCAGCATGAGAAGATACCTCTTTTAAAGGACCCAGGAGGAAATACCTGCTTGTTGGCACTGAATCATCTCCAGTTCTTAGGAAGATGGGGTGAAATGTGGGTTTAATGGGCACGGAAGAAGTTGCACATCTGGTTTTCCCACTAAAGCTGGTAGCCCTGCACAGGATTTCTGCTTCTCCTTGAAGACTGACCCCAGTTAGGAGTTTCCTAAGTCTGTGTCTACCCTCAGATAGTTTGATGAGCCGGTTATTTCAGAGCAGAAATGAAGTTTGTCGCTTTTAGAGCCAGCGGTTCTCAGATGTCTCCTTCACCTAACCTGCCTGTGGGTTCGCTCTGAAGGAGGTAGGGAATTGTCTTCCCTGTTACCTGATTAAAAAAGCTGTGAGATACCAAGGAGAAAATCCTTAATACAAATGAATGCCAAGCCTCAGTATGTAGAAAAATATTTTTTAATGGTACAAACATGGCAACAGGAGAAAAGATGCAGAGCATCTTAGTGGCATCTATGTCATTCTCCTCTAGACACAGGGGCCATTGTTATATTTTAGGCTGGAAGAAACTAGATTAAAATGATTACCACTTAAGTCTGTCATTTGCCTGCTTTTTCACTGGTAAGTGTCCTTGGTGGCAGTGCTCATGTCAGGCCTCACAGGGGAGCATCTCCTCCCGGTGAAGGGACGCATGGGAATGGTCACAGCTAGTAATACCAATAAGCACTAAATCTTACTGCAGTGCAAAAAGCTTTTCATCAATTTCTGGTGATGATATTAAGGAATAGGAAGAAAAAAAAGGAAATAGGTCTCTGAGGTGAAATTTGTTCTGTTGCTGCTTTTAAAGTCTAGGGTTCAAAGGTACTTCCTCGCACAGCACAGGAGACACGACATTCCCTGTAGGAATGAGGCCGTGCTGCGCGGACTGAAAAGGTTTTTTTCTTCTGCTTTTGAAATCACCCTAAAATCCCGCTTGCACTTCATTCAGCCAAACCCAGGAAGTGTGGGCCTGATCCTGCCAGCACTTAGTGTGCACAGGTCACGTTTTTCCAGTGTCCAAAGCAGTGTGATCCTTACAGGGAACTTCAGCAGGGATCCAGTATTAAGGGTCGAGTTACTCCTTGGCAGGAATTGGCCCTCTGATGGGAAAGTTTTGCTTTGGTTTTGAAGCTAGGAAAAATGAGCCAAGGACAGATTCCCAGCAGGGTGGTGCTGGCTGCCGGCTGCACGCAGTGGCAGCACTGCAGCAAGTACAGGTGCAGTTCATAGACTTCACACCGAGGACACGTGGAGAAGCAAATAAGGAACTTTTCTCATCTGTTGTCCATTTCAGGGTTGGACTGAGAATTATGATCGGAAAACAGCAGGTACATTTTAAAGGTGGTAGAAGGATTGTGCTGGAATGCATTCATTCTGGGCTCTGCGCACTGAGCTGTGTCTGGGAATTACCTGAGCTTCCCTGAACGACAGGGAGGTGCAAGACAGACTGAGACCTGCTTACTCCAAAGGCAGCTATAGACTTAAGCTGCTTCATTGCTTAGATAATTTTTTTTTTCAGCATTGGGAAATACTGATTCACTGAAAGAAGAATTTGCAAGATTTATTGCAAAGCTGTCACTCCCCAAATTGATCCCTTTTGCACACATTCTTTTTAAAATTTTTTTCTTAGGTTATTTAATAATATGTCAGTAATGCACAGTAACAGGGTCAGTGAGATTTAACATTTTGAATTGTAATTGGTGTATAAGCGTGTAATTTATGTAAGCATGAATTATCCCTGTGTGATTCTGAAATGAAATTTCAAAATCTTAAATATAAAAAAAATTCTGGTGAATTTGGATGTATTTGCTTTTGTTACAATAAGGCATGAAAACAAAAGTTGAAACATCTTTAAAATAAAAACTGAGTTTCAACCAGATTTAATATGACATAGTAAAAACCAGTCCTTGTACCAAAAAACTTAAGCCATGAATGCTGATAACAAACGTAAGAAGTTAGCAGAAGAGCGTGAACATGAAATAAAAAGAGAAGCATCTTTAAGTAGAAGTCAGGGAGCTGTGACATTAGTATAGGACAGCACTGTCCAAAAATGGACTTCTTGAATGTTTTTCTGATGCATTTTCAGCTGTGAGGCTGATTGATTATTTATATAGGTGATGTCTGGAGTACTAGTAGAAACTCCATGCCTTTTCAGTAAAACTGTACAAAAAGATGACCCCGTGTAGTCTGGGACCTGCTAGCACTCCCAGTTTCACTGCTGATCAAAAGCACAACTATTTTTTCTTTAAAAGGACTACAAGACTTGATATGTTCAGACTTGACATTAGGAAGCATTTCTGTACCGAGAGGGTGGTCAAACACTGGAACAGTGTTCCTAGAGAGGTGGTCGATGCCCCAAGCCTGTCAGTGTTTAAGAGGCGTTTGGACAATGCTCTTAATGACATGCTTTACCTTCAGTCAGCCGTGAAGTGATCAGGCAGTTGGACTAGGTGATCGTTGTAGGTCCCTTCCAACTGAAATATTCTATTCTATTCTGTTCTGTTCTGTTCTGTTCTATGAAGGAATGACAGACATTTAGCTCCTGCACCTCTTCAAGCTCATGCTGGTATAATTTAATGGCAACCGAGGGGGCAGGGAGGCAAGTATTAGGTAGGCAGTGCAGAAGAGTCTGGACATCCTGTTGATGCAAGCATGGGCTGGCTCATGCCTCCACCCTGCCTGTTTCCTGCTTGGTAAACAGGACCATGCTTCGAT